TTCTCACAAAACCTGATGTTGTTGGCAGCTTCTAATCTGGCTGGGTGCCCTGACATGAATTGCAGATTCTCTGTGCTCCTTTTGAGAGGAGTTTAAGGGGGATGAAAGCAGATGCAGGTAGGCACAGATGGAGCCCAGAAGCCAAATAGTGCAAGACTCCTCAATACAACAGTGGGTTTGGCAGCTTCACACTGTTTTAAGGAAGAAAGGTAATTTTCTATAAAGTAATTAGCTCATCACTTAAGCAAGCCATCATTGTGATTGTATTTTGTTTTCATTAACTTTAGGAAATGGTCCTTTGAACATAAGTAAAAATTAAGTGACTGGTTTTAGTAGTTATTGGTTTCGTTTTCCTTCTTTGAAAGACAGCCACGGGGTGGGGTTGAAAGCTATTTTCTTTGGAACATATCTTGCCTTGTCTTCACAACTCTGGTCAGTGTTGATGTTTCCAAACATGTAACACAATGAAAGGGTGCTGTTGATTGTTCTGTGGAAACATTAAAACAGTGCCAAATGGTTTTCTCTCTCTGATTAAACCTCTTAAGAGTGCCTTAGTACTGTTAATAGTGACTCTTGTAGAACAGGCCACTCATTCCCGTGGCTGAATGCAATACCATCAGTCATTTCCCCCAAGAACAGGGTTCTAAAAAGTTTCTTATCCACATATAATACTCCTCAATCCACCTGCTTTTTTTGAGGGAGGTTTAACTATTCTGGAAACAGGAAAAATGGAGTTATCAATATCAAAGGAGTAGAGGCTATTGCTTTTGTAGACTACACTAGCTAGTACCTATTAACATTCTGATTACATGATACAGAGATACTATATATCTTTTGGGCATCTTCAATTTTGTTCCCTTAAATTCACTGAAGGCTTAAGATGATGTACTCATTGTAATTTGGAATTGTGTCTTAGGTTTTAATTTGTGGTTGTGGTGTGTTGAGATGATATTTATATGTGTGAATGTATCTTGAGGATTAGAAGAGATGTCTTCGTGAACACTGTGGTACTGCAGAAACTTTCTCTGCCAAGAGAAGTACTGGTCATACACTAGACTTTGTGTGCCTCAGCCACTATCAGACCCAGCTGAGATCTGCAAAGCAAGAACCAACTGTGGGGGGGGGTTAGCAAGCAAAAGGTGTGGTGACTGCAGGCTGCCTTCTTCAAGGGATAGATTACTCAGGACATAGAAAGCTAACACTTGTACCCGAAGCTGGCACAGGTGGCCTTTACATGCTTGCTTTAATTACTTCCTTCACAAGCTCAGAATTTTCTGAGCAATATAAATAAAATAAGAATTTAGCTTTAGGGAAAATAAAATAAAAAAAAATTAACATTAGTCCTTTATAATCTCTTTATATGTTTTTTATCTAAACTTTCTGCCAATATTTGTTATTGGGAAGTCTGAAGTTTATGGATACTTCAAACATCATGTGAACCTTCACTTTAAATTGAATTTTCTGTAAGATTATGTTTTCTAGCAATGTTAGAAGCTACATCTATGAAATTTCACCAGCATAGTGATCAGATAAGGAAAACTAATAGGTTAATAAGGGTGGGAGGAGTTCAAGAGGATTTGGGTCACCCGAGAAGGGACTTCCTTCTTTCCTTGCTTGTTTGCTTGCTTCTTTCTTTCTCTTTATTCAAAGGTGATGTTTTTTCTTTTTTGATTTTAATATTTTTTGCTCTTATTCCAGTTCCCTCTCCCTCCCTCCCTCCCTCCCTCCTTCCCATTCCCCCAGAATGCCCTCCTCTCCCATCCCCCCCGAGCTCCACAGGGTGGGTGATGCCTTCCAGGAGGGGTCATCTAAATCTGTCAAGTCATTTGGAATAGGGACTAGGCCCTCCCTCCTACCTCTAGGTTAAGGGAGTAACCCTCCATGGAGAATGTGCTCCCAACGTCCTTTCATGCACTAGGGATATATCCTGGTTCCTCTGTAAGGGGTCCGGAAAGGGACTTTCAAGTGAGGGATTGCTCAGATCCAGACTGGCCTGTGGGCATCTCTGTGGCAGACTGTCATGATTGTTCATTTATACAGAGGGTCCAGCCCACACTGGGCAACACCATTCATTCTAAGAAAACTAAACATGAATATAACAGCAAGACAGGAAACAGGTTTCTTCATGGTTCCTCGTTCAAGTTTCTGCTTGCGTTTCTGCTTTGACTTCCCTTAGTGATGGATAATGCGTGGAAGGAAGCATCAACCACACTAACCCTTTCCCCATCTGTGTAAATTTTGATCAGTGTTTTATAACACAACAGAAGGGAATTCAGAAAAAATAAAACAGATTGCATATATTCAATGGTTAGCAATTCAGAAGCTTATAATTGAGCAGACATAATATATTTATTACAAATGGAATTTAAAAAAAAAGCAAGAGTTTATTTTGTAAAGTAAGGTGAAGGACCAACAATAGTGATGAAACAGATACATATGTGTTCTCATTCATAGTAACCCTTGAAATGAATGGGACTGTCTTGTTCTCACTCCTGTCTCCTCCCTCTTCGTCTCTGCTACCTCTCTCCTTTTCTTTGTTACTATCTCTGTTTCTCTCTCACACATCCTCTCTCTCGCTCTCTCTCTCTCTGTGTTTGTGTGTGTGTGAATGTGTACATATGAAGGGCATATATTAATAGGTTTCCCACATGCCTTTTAAGCATCCTGAGTATTAATCCTCCTCATGGGATTTCCTATGCTCCATCCTCTGAGCACTTTCTGACTTAAACTTCCTCCCCTATTATTCCTCTTCTCCACATGTCACCTGCATTTTACTATGCCAACCACTCAAGTTCTGTCTTTACGCATCTGTGCCAGTTGCCCTTTCTAGCTTTCAGATTGCATAGTTATTGCAGATTAAGCACATAAATCTGAAGGTCTGCTTACATCCTCAAATATGTGTGATCATTTGATTTTTTTTTTGTGGATAACATAACTAAGTATAATGTTTTAATCCTTTCCTTTTACGTAATTTTATAATACATTTATATTATGCCTTTATAAACATTTATATGTACACATGTATGTATCCAGATAAAATATCTTGGAATTACTGTTTGTATGATTATGATTTGCTTGCTGACATGATGTCTAATGAGCCAGCTAAATGATCTTATTACTAATAATTTAATGATAGAATAGTTTATAATATATTGAGATGATTTACTTTTCATTATTAAATGATTTGCTAATATGCTAATCCATTGTCATATTTGGCTCTGTGGTGCATAAGTTACTTTAGCCTGAAGTTGCTATTATTATAATATTCTTGTCAGAGTTGACTACAGGTAATTTTTTGTCAACTGCAAGATCTGATGAACTGTTAGGTTGTTTTCTTTACTGAATATTTAGATACATACATTAACTTTGTTTTGTCACCCCACATTGTAAATATGTATAAAATAATGAGGAACCTCTAAAATGTTATAAATATTGAATTAATAAATCAAACCAAATTCTGTATTTATTCAGTAGATCAAGAATAAGAGTAACTTTATTTTAGATTTTCTGTTTGTCCTAAATGGTTAGACACCACAAACACTTCCTTTGGACAGCTCTTTCTGAACCCACAGCTTCCTGAAGCACAGATACAGTACCAAAGGAGAAGCTGCTACAGATATCAAACACCTTCTCAGTGAAGTAACTACAGACGATGACAGCCTCATGGGTTCTTCATACTCTCAAAGTCACTTGTATTCCTTTATTTTTACAACATATCCTAGTTTATAATTTTATGGTTTCCAGATACTATGTGAATTAAATTGGATAGTATAAATATATCAGAGGTAAAAATATTATTCAACCTTGTTAACCACAAGTAAAATTCTGGTAAGAAAAATTAATTGGCAAATCTTTAATCAAGTGTGAATAAGATGGTTTGGGCTTATTGTGTTTCATATAAAGATTTCAGGTTTAAATACAAATACAATGAGAAATTTGTGAAGATTAAACATGTAGCATCTCTGTCATATAAAATGTTGTTACATGCTACTATTCATCACTTAAAGTTTCAGTTCTGAAAATATTATGTAAATAATAATATAAATTAATAAAATCATTCTATGGTAATAAAATATGTGTTGATTAGGATTTCTACAATTGAAATATTGACATCCATCTTATTTAACACACAACTTTACTTCACTCAAATCATTCAACTATGGTTTAACATTTTTAACATATTGTCAGTTTATTATTCATAATAATATTATTCATAATAATATAGTACCAATATTTGCCAATAAAATACTGTACTAATGATGACAAGCATTACTTTAAAATCTGTTTTCATAATGTCTATGTAAGTTAGCACTATATATACATTAATTTAACAATAATAAATACAAATATAAGCTTTAATATAAGCATCCAAATATTCCTAAAATACATGCCTTAAAAAGCCAAAGGCAACATATGTAGTCTATGATGTCACTAGTGTTAGCACTAAATGACATCACTATAGATGACACAAAATGTTGATTATTTGTTTTCTTTTATTAACACAAACCAGGCTTGCAATGGTTGAGAGAACACAGCAATGTAAGTGAGGCTGGTTGTCCAAATCTTTACCTCTCCTAGCAAGCTAACTAAATTAACTAAATGTTGTAACCACTTGCTTCAATTTCCTTAAAATATTTTAAGTGTCTTCTCCAGGTTCTTTCTTTTTTCTTTTCTTTTAATTTTTTTTTCTAGAAGTTCTGCAAATATAAACATCCTTGAAGGAATAGTACACTTCCATATTAGCAGGCTCTAAATTTAAAAGCAATGAATGAATATAGTTAATAGACACTAATATAAAACACTAATATTGGTTTTAAAAGCTTATCTTATAAAAGCAGACAATCCAATACAATACTATTGACAAATTTAATGTCTAATGTAGAATAAATTGATTAAGTTGTAATTTATATGTGTTTAGATTTAACTCCAATTTTTGTGATATCAACCTAATGGTAAATCTACTTTTATTTCTATTTTCGTTTTCTCTCTTCCAGCGCGCCTGGCTGAGCTTTGAAAAGATACCTACTGTATTACTAAGAAGTCAACAGACAGCCAAGATTACATGAACAGATTTAGGACATTTTCTCTTGTGATTATCAGTAGAGAACAGACAAGCAATGGATGTCTTTCGGTCCAAACAAATATATAAAGGGAAAATACTGCGATTGTTTTCTAGTTTCTCTTGTACCCGAGATCAAAGTAAAGGCAAGCATAAATCTCATGAGGTGGAAAAAAAGCTGTGTAGAGAAAATAAGGCATTGAGAGATGAAAACAAGGCTCTGAGAAAAGACAACAAATTCCTATGGGGGGAAAATAAAGCCTTAGGAAGAGAAAATAAAACATTTCGGATGGACAACCAATTCATCAGGGAAAGGAATCATATCTTAAGACAGCAGAATCAGCTACTCAGGAAGGTGAAGAGGTTGATTTTAGAGAGCCAAAAACTCCCAGGAGAAGAGCTCAATACCTTGAACTCAGAAAGAAATTCTTACTGGCAACAGAACAGAGCTGTGGAGGCTCAGATCACAGCTCTCAGGCAGCAAGAGAAAGCCTTCCAGAATGAGACTAAGGCTCTGCATGAGGAGATCAAGTCCCTGCGTGAAGAGACCAAGGCTCTCCAGTACCAGGAGAGGGCTCTCAGGATGGAAGAGAAAGCCCTCATGAGGGATGGAGTTGCTTCTGAGCTGGAGGAGGCCCTGACCAAGGAGGGAGCTGCTCTGGAGCTGGAAGAACAGGCTTTGTGGAAGGAAGAACAGGCTCTTCGGGAGGAGAACAAGGCGCTGAGAGAAGAGCACGGGGCTTTACAAGACGAGGAAGTCGCCCTGCAGGAAGAGGCAAAGATCCTGCAAGAGTGGAACAATGATCTTCAGGGGAAGATCATCAACAGCCTCCCAGAGCAAACACACAAAGACGTCCAGGAGAAGAAGTGTGACCTAAAAATGTAAGCACAGTGCCCTGACAATCATCAGCATTCTAGAATATAAAACTAGAATTCCAAGGAGATACATTATTATCAGAAGCCTCAGAATCTGAAGTGCTCAATATTTGGTCCTGGAAACTAAATAAAGGCCTGAAGAATGAACAAAAATATTTGGTTCCTTGGTTTTTTCTGCGTTATGGATAACTGATGATAGCATTAATCAAACATTTAATGTATAAATCTGCTTTACCCTTTGAGAAAATTTTGGTGAATATCAGGCTATTGTAAGAAATTAATAGCATTATTTTCCTTAAAATATGATTTTTTGTGTTTTTTAATGACCCATGCATATCTGTACTCCCAGCAATTTTGAAAAAGAGAAGGAGGTTGTTCAAGAAGGTCTTGACTACTACATACTGATTTCAAGACCAGGAAGGGTACATGAGACCTTAATCCAAAAAAAAAGCAACTAAATGATGAAATAATGAATAAGCATGCATAGTTTCCATACCAAAGAATAATTCTGCTTCTTCACACTAAATTCATATCAAGAACCTTATATTAGTAGGAAAGATATCAACATATGTGTTAACACAGAAAGTATTAAAGTTCACAGTTTCTCCAAGTTTTAATTTTTCTTCTCATTTATTTTACTCCTTTTATTTATTAAAAGGACTGCTTTTCATAAAATTTTATGGACCAGAGGGAAAACAAGAGAATAAATCTCTATAAAATACAAGAGAAATGATATGGATTGATATGGGAATATTGGGAAGAATTTCCATTTAAAAGAAATTAAAGAGCCAGGTATGGTGTAACAAGTCTGTAATTCTACCACTGTGGAGGAAGAGGCAGGAGGAGCTTTGTAAGTTTGAGGTCAAATGATGTGCATAGTTAGACCTAACCCATCAAAGGTTACATGGTGAAATCTTGCAGAAAAGCTACTTGATTTTCATATCAGTATTCATAACTGATCTTATTTTTACTTAAAAATCACTTCTTCAGTTACATAGATTTATTAAATATCTAGTTTCATTGCTGTTAATTTGAAAAGGTAATTCACTTTAAATAAATAGTGGCTTCTATTGACTATATCTAAAATATCTTGTCTATTATTGAGTGGTTAGGAAATGGAAATGTAAGACTAATATAAAAAGAAACACATTTATGCTTCCATGTCCACAAGAAATCTGTATGTATTAAATTCATCTCATTTCTACCTATCTCAATTGTGATCTTTGGATAAATTGAATAAGAAAATAAAATCATATTGCTACTTTAAGACACTATCATGTGTTAGTAAACATTGACTCAAAGGCTCCATTTCATTTCTTATTCAATTTATCTAAATTTTATTGGCCATTTTTCTCACCATGTTTAGTTCCAAAAATATGTGATCTGACCTTGGAGAAAGCCCTGATATGACATAGGATTTAGACATATGTATTAGAACCAAGAAGAAGAAATGTAGTAAAATTGCCATTTACAAAGTAAAAAGACATTAGGAAAAATACCTTAAAGCAACCTTCAGTAATCTAGATATGAGTGGATAGGCTTCTCTGTTGTTTATATATTCTTAAATGTTATTTACAGACAAGTACTTTTAAATACCTTAGAGAATGTTGATGAGGACAGGAGGCATGTTCTTTCTGTGTGGAAACAGTTACCAAGGGCTTCTCTCATTCAGTCATAAATCTCTCATTGTTGTATCACAGTTAAAGAGTAATAGTTCAGATAAAAGTAAAGTACTGACAGCAAGACCAAGCTTTTACCAACAGAAAATCAACCATACTCAGACAATGGTATCTACAAATTGGACAGATTATTAAGATAATGAGAAATGTTTATGATAGAGGTATTTAAAGAATGTGAACTTTGTAGATAACAGCATCTTGACCCCTTGTAAAACCTCTTAGACTATATTTCAGATTTTCAGTATCTCTTCCTGTGCTGTATCCTCCCTTAGCTTCAGGCATGGGCTTCACTAGGGTGGTAGGTAATGAATAAGAGACGGACATACAGATGAACAAAAAGTTAGTATTGAGTAAACTGGTCTCTGATGGAGGAGCAATATTGGGGTGGAAGGTTGTATACAACTAATGAGAAAATTGTGTTGTTACATGAAGATAGATAAAGTGTCATGGTTTGTGATAGACAGCTTGATCAAGGAAACAGATTAAGTAAACATCAATTACTAAAGTAACTTTAGGTAACAGTCTTCAGGCATGAAACATGCAAAGGAGAAAGTCATGAAGAAAGTTTTTGAACACACTGTCAACATTCACATACAAGACTCCAAGGAAGACTTTGCTCATCCTAGAGGCTCAGGTCTTGGCATTCTTCTCATGACTGAAGCCATGTAAAACAATACATTCTCCCTCATTACTTCACTCATGATGTTCTGTTTCCTATCCACCTAGAATTTAAATGATAAGTTTAAAAATCATTATTGCTAAAAGGTCTTGATTTTCTACTACATTCTACCAGTTACAAATTATATAGCTCATGAATCTTTCAGACTAACTCTGTAAATACAATTATTTTGATGTTTTATATTGATATCAGGCACTAATCAAAATGTTCTTTTAAAACCAGATATTATAATAATAATTAAATATGATACAAATGACTATATTTTATAACCCGAATAATCTTTCATGTTATAACTAAGTGTATGTTAATCTTTAAATAATATATTTTAAATTCAATAATTTTGAATTATCAAAAAAAAAGAATAAAATAAGAAAAATACCAGACCTGTATATATATCCTCTTCAAGAATTTTAAAATATTTATTCTATTCATAAGGACCAAGTTTTTCTTAATCAACCACAAAAGTCTTAATAATTCAAAGTATTAGAAATCATATCACCTGATTCCCTGTCTTATCACAAAGGAAGAAAACTTTTTTTTTTTTTTTTTGCATGTTTAGTATCACCTGGATTTTTACGTATTTTTTTTTTTTAGATATATTTTTCTTTAAATTTGAAACAACCTTGTTTTACATGTCAATCCCAGTTCCATCACACTCCCCTACTTCTCTGTTCCTCTCCCAATCCCTATCCAATCCCCAGGGAGGGTGAGGCCTTCCATGGGAGGCATTCAAAGTTTGTCATATCATTTGGAGCACGGCTTAGGCCCTCCCCTATGTGTCTAGGCTTAGAGACGAACCCTCTATGTAGAATAGGATCCCAAAGTTCATTCATATAATAAGGATAAATATTACCACAGGCCCCATAGACTTCCTAGTCCTCCTAACGAACACCCACATTCAGGGGGTCTGGGTCGGTGCTATGCTGATTTCACAAGTATAAGATAGGGTTCATGAGTTCCCTGTTGTTCAGGTCAGCAGTTTCTATGGGTTTCCCCAGCCTGGTGTTGACCCCAGTGCTTATCACTCCTCCCTTTCTGAAACTGGATTTGAATTGTTTAGCTCAGGGTTTAGCTATGGGTGTCTGCTTCTGTTTCCATCAGTTACTGGATGTAGGCTCTAGGATGGCAAATAAGGGAGCCATCAATCTCATTATCAGGGAAAGGCATTTAATGTTAGTTGGGGTCATCCTTGTAGAGCTCTGGATATTTCCCTACTGCCAGATTTCTCTTTAATAGAAGAATGGCTCCCATTTTTATGATATCTCTTCCTTGTTCTCCTCTATTCTTTCCCTGATTCAAATCCTGTTCCCTCATACCTTCCTCTTCTCTTCTTCTCCTTCCCTAAACTCCCTACCCCCTCCTCCCATGCTCCCAGTTTGCTAAAGGAGATCTTGCCCTTTCCCCTTCCCTAGGAGACTATGAATGTCTCTCTTAGGGTCCTCTATTTTTTCCTATCTTTACTGGCAGTGTAGATTGTAGGCTGTGATCCTCTTTTCTATATCTAAAATCCATATATTAGTGAGTACATATCATGTTTGACTTTTTGTGGCTGGCTTACCTCACTCACGATAGTTTCTTCTGTTCTATCCATTTTCCTGCAAATTTCAATATTCCATTGTTTTTTCATCTGAGTAGTACTCCATTGTGTAAATGTACTACATTTTTCCATCCATTCTTCAGTTGAGGGACATTTAGGTTGCTTCCAGGTTCTGGCTATTACAAATAATGATGTCATGAAAATACTTGAACAGATGTTCTTTTTGTATGTATATGCATCTTTCGGGTAAATGGCTAAGAGTGGAATTGCTGCATCTTGTGGCAGATTGATTCCCATTTTCCTGAGGAACTGCCATACTGTTTTCCAAAGTGGTTGTATGAGTTTGCCCTCACACTAGCAGTTGAGGAGTATGTTCTTTTCTCTACATCCTCTCCAGCATAAACTGTTTTTGATTTTAATTTTTTTTGACAGGAGTAAAATGGCATCTCAAAGTTGTTTTGATTTACATATCCCTGATGACTAAGGATGCTGATCACTTTCTTAAGTGTCTTTCAGCTATTTTACATTCCTCTAGTCTCTAGTTCTGTTCCCCACTTTTTAATTGGATTATTTGGTGTTTTGGTGACTAGCTCCTTGAGTTCTTTGTATATTTTGGAAATAATCCCTCTGTCAGATTTGGGGTTGGTGAACTTTTCCCATTCTGTGGGCTACCATTTTGTCTTGTTGACTGTGTCCTTTGCTTCATAGAAGCTTGCCAATTTCAGTTGGTCCCATTTATTAGTTGTTGATCTCAGTGTCTGTCCTGCTACTGTTTTGTTCAGGAAGCAGTCTCCTGTGTCATTTCATTCAAGGGCACCTCCCTCTAGAATGGTCATTGCCAAACTCTTTTTATGAGGTTACATTTACTTTAATACCCAATCCACACAAAGACACGTAAGAAAGAGAAATGCAGGCAAATATCCCTCCTGAATATCAATGCAAAGATATTCAATAAACCCTGGCAAATCAAACCCAAGAACATATCAGAGAAATCATCCACCATGACCAAGTAGGCTTCATCCCAATGATGTAGAGATGGTTCAATATATGAAAATCCATCAATGTAACTCACCATATAAACAAATTGAAAAAGAAAACCCACATGATTATTTCAC